TATTTGAGAGGGATGGGTGTGTTAGGGTCTGCAGCCGGGAGATCACTCTCCTTCTTGATGGTGCCATCCACTGCCTTCAGCCCCTATATGTAGTGTCCATAACAGCAGTTTTTAATACAGTAGATGACACATTTCTTGAGACAAATCACATTATTAGCATTGCATGTACAATAACAATAAACATCAGGCAGAGACTCGCCTTTAGTACGTAGCTCAGGACGTGTCTGCATTTCTCCTCCTTGTCTTGTGAAACAGGGAAAGCACAACTTGGCTGCGGGGATCGAGAAAGGGAACATTATTCTCTGGTGTTAACATACAACATATTTATCTGTGTATTCCACACTGTCCCCTTAGGTCTGCGTAGAGGAGAAACATTTAGAGAAGCACTCACTCTGATCTGGTGAGTGGATTTGTATTTCTCCGGGACAGACAGCTCCCCTACAGAGCGGATCACAGCCACAGCTTTACTATCATCCTGTGAGCTGTAGGAGCTGTTCTCATCGCTGTCCTCTGTCAGCTCCGCCTCCTCCTCCTCCTCTTCTTCCTCTCGGTCTTCGTCGCTGTAGCTGTCCTCTGAACCACCGGCCCGAAGGGACTCCTCTCCATCTTCTTGGGGAGGCTCATCGAGCTGGAACAGCTCTGACAGGATGTAGTGGGCCGAGGCGATGATCTGAACAGACAGGAGATGGAGATCGGGACTGGAGTCAAGTTCAATCAAATCTAAACGGTGGCATTCTCAGATTTAGACAAGTGGTTTCACTTTTGACTTCCCTGCTGTCAAACTATGGATTGAAAAAAAAACTATTCTGGAACCTTTTTTAAATCCATGCTTACCTGGGGATGCCTCTCCTGATCCAGCAGTTTGACGCAGTTCAAGAGCAGAGTTCTGATTGTGCCATAATGCTTTCTGTTCTGCCTCGCCTTCAGCATCAAGTTGCTGGCAACTCTGAACCACAAAACAGAACTCATTACAGTTTTGCACACTTTATATAAACAAGTACTAGTTGAAAATAGCTGTTTAACAACCTAAATATCTAGTTTGTATATAACAGTAGTCCTTTAGGCTTCCTCATTTCTTAACAGTTTAGGGTATCTGACTAAACCAGGAGTCCAACTATACATTTATAGGTCTGCCCATCTTAACCGAATATTTTAAGCTCATTAAAAAGATATTCTAGCTAAAATGTTAAATAAACTCTCCAGGACATCGTAAAAAGCTCTTTTTGAAGAGGAAATTAAATCTTCTCAGCCCTGAATTCCAGAAAAGAGCAGGAACCCTGAAGCCCAAAGACACTCTTGTCCCGAGTCTTTCCCAGATACTCACTTGTATAGTAAAACAGCCACAGGAAGAGTGAAGGGATTCTGGCATTTTTCCTCTTCAGCCTCCTCACAAAGAGTAGTAAGATCATAAAGCTTCACAATGTCACTCCCACTAGCTGTGGATTCAAGAAATAACATTAGAATACATCAAACTAGAAAAACTGCATAGCGTACAGTACATTAGACATATTACTTATTACAGGGGGGAAATTCTGTTCACTTATCTCCCACCTTTGAAAAGCCAGTAGGTGTGACCCTCTTTGGTGCAGTTGGACTTGAGAAAGGAGAGGATGTTTTGGGCGATGTCTTTCACCACCCTGGTAGAGAAAGTCGAGTTCTCCAGATGAGGGATGTCTTCTGTTTTTATCATCTCGTATTTCTGCAGGTAGAAATATAAAAGCAAAAGCAATGATGAAATGTATTGCCACAGATCATAATAATACCTTTTGGAATACTACAGCCAGCAGTAATTTACCTGAACAATGCCATTGACGTGGAAGCACATGACAAGCTCGGGGACATTACACATCAGATTGTCGAGCCAGTAGTCGATGCCTGTCAGAATGTTAATTGGTTTATTGTTGTCCCTGAAAAACACAGGAAGAAAGTTAGATGCTACATTACGCCAATATAATGTAGTGGAACCAATGTATGTGATTGAAGGAAACAGTTTAGACTCCAACCTGAGTCTCAGACTGACGGCAGGATAGCGACCACCTCCAAAAATAGGCATGTTGGACCCAACCAACATGTGGATATCCTCAAATGTCCACATGATGTTTCGCACAAAGTCGTTCCTTAAACCCTGTCAAACAAGTGACATCAAAGTGTATATAAGAGTGTAAACAAGTGTACATTAGACATAAGTTACCAACTGTGGTAGGAAAACATTAAGGGAGGTTGTACTACCTGACTGTTCTCCCCTTCGTTGAAGAGCATAGGGAGGTTTTGCTCTTTGGGTATGGAAGTCACCTGGCCCAGAGCAAACTTGCTGTCTACAGAAACACTTTCCTGCACATTTAAGAGTAGCAATACTGTCAGCGCAAGCAGCACAAACCCGAACTCTCAACACATAAGCTTCACACCATCTGATCTAAAAACACTGATTACTGGTTATTTTCCAATACATTTCAGGCGTTACAGAAAGCTGTGAGTGACAACGACACATAGGATTTATTCCTAATGAAGAAGAAATTGAGATATAATTTCACACACATCTCTTAATTCTATCACAGGTCTGGCTGCCCCAATCAGAGGCTACTAAATACACTGTACCTGCTTGGGAGGATCTGATTCTTCGGCATCAGACGATGTGCTGGTGAAGGTGGTGGGCCATGAGGAACTGAACTCCTCTGCCCCGTTCTCCTCCTGCCCTTCATTCAGGTCGTTTTGTACAGGCTCTGCAGCCCCGTCACCATTTATACTGGAGGAAACACAAGAGGTTATTATGGGACAAGACTGGAAAAGATGCACCATAAACTTTAAAAAAAGTTCCACTGTGAACCAAACTCAAAGTACTCACCTGTAATAGAGGAACTTTGACAGGATGGCTTTCTGATACCAGTGCTCTTTACTCTTCTTTTTCCTCTGCCACTTCTGATCTACTAGCCGCTGGTAAAACTCTTTTAGCCACGTCCAATCTCCCGTCTACAACACACGCATAAACCACATTCTTAAAAGTTACTGTTGTGAAGAAACAGTGGCAATGGCAGACACATTTGGAATAAAAGTAGAATAAAAGTACGGAATGTGCCATTCTGTACCTGAGAGGATCTCATGAAGAGCTCTTGAATGTCCAGCTCATCCAAAAGCAATGTCCTCCCCACGCGGTGAACAGCCATACTGACGTGGGACTTGCTGTAGGGAATTTTCAGGAGCTTCTTGATGTTCTGAATGTGACAGAAAAAAAAAACAATGTTAACATAAAGTGTCTGTGCATGTCTCGGAGACAAAGAAAGAAATGTTTTTTTTCACAAACCTCTGAGTCAGATACCACGTCGACATCATCCCCGATGCAGTCAATGAAGTCGTAAGCCATCCCAAAACTACAAAAGAAGAAAAAAATAAGTTATTACTACTGAGTGTTTACAGTGGCCAAGAAAATGCTTTTGCAGATGAATCAACATGTGAGATTTATGCACTTATAGCCCTGATTATTAGCATTTTCAGCTATGCAGCAAGAAATTATCCAGTGCTTCTGCTTACTGGTGTCTTAGATGTAAAATTCTAGATGTAGTTTTGTAACATCAACGAAAACAGGCAGAATTACACACTGTGCCTTAGATACACCTCAGAGTACTAATCAGTGTTCATCAGTGCATTCAGACCAACAACAGAGGCCATCTGCCCAGCAGGTTTCCGCAAATTAGGCAGAGAATTCAGCGTGAGCCTCTAATACCAACCCTGCCTTTTATCTTCACTCAGCAAAACATACGATTTCAAACTGTCATCACAAATTAATATCACATCTTAAAATACCAACCTAACCACAAGTGTTTCTAATATTTAGTTTGCCCCAGTTGACATAAACTGGTTGGCCAACATATTAAAACATTATATCTTTCAGTATAAAACAATACAATGCAACAGCAACACAAAGTACAGACTCCAAACTGACCATGAGGTTTGAATCAATACTCCTAATTAAAACAGTTCCAACAAAAACTGAACATTACAGACTGCAGGGCTACAGTGTACTCGATTTACGAAGGAAAAACTTCTCTCCACAGAGACCAACACAGTTACATCAGCTGCAGTAATAGGATCTCTCATGCTTTTGCACCTGGAAAAGGGCTTGCTCTTGCTGCTGGACCCTAATATAGTGGTGCCAGCGCTGCCCAGCTGGGGGTTTTCTCTCAGCCAGTTGGCAGGAGGCAGCTTCAGGTCCGTCTTCTCCTGCAGCAGGGCATAGCTGGTGGGAGGAGGGGCGGCAGAGTACTTGACCACAGCACGGCTCTTGATTTCACTGCTGCCTGAGCATACTGCAGAGTCCTTCAACATAACAGAACAAAACATCATAGTGCAAGTGAGTTACTGGGACCGGGAATCACTGATGGAGGTTGGAGCTATAAACCTGAGAGTGTCTGGTGGATCTGTGAATCAATACACTGAAACTGGTGAATAGGAAGATTTCACATTGTTAATAACCATGCATACAGTCAGTGTAACAGTTCCTCCTTGCTTCGGTTAGTTACTTACATGTTTGCTGTTCTCTCCTGTGCAGGTAGGGCCACTGATGTCTTCCTTTGCACTGTCCAGGGGGATCCCAGGCTCTCTGTCCGCAGCTGACGCGCTCATACTGGACTCAGGACACTCACTTCAACCCGGCAAACATTGGCTCTTTCTTAACAACCAGCCAACCTATCCATGGCTTGGACAACTCGTGGGAAATGTATGCATTAGCTAGTTAAACGAGCCAGACGCGTCTATTGTGTCAATAAAGTTACTGTTGTGTCCAGTTTGCTAGCTTGACAGGCTAGCTCCAAGAAAGAGACCCGTAGAGATGTAAATAAAAAAAAAAAAGTGTCGCTTCCCAACACGGTTGTTAAATTGACACTAAACGACGCTCACATGTGAGGCTGTTAATTTGAGTGGTTTTTAGCCCTTTTTTTAACAAGTTAAATGCGCCTGCAGCTTCTCCTCTTCCTTTATCAGCCAGACTGTTGTTGTTAGCGTACACGTTGATGCGGGCAGTAAGCGAACAACAGCTTCCGGTTTCACGATAAGACGAACTCCAAAACTCGTCTTATTTTCTTATTTCGAGAATCATACCATCATTATTTTTATTTTAAAGACGACGTGGAAGCGTTTACTGGATTATAACGTAGAATAATGGCTTATAAATATTTTAGTATTGATAAAATATGTGAACCGGAAGTACTTTTAGAGATGCTTTCTAGAATAGTTGCGCACTTTCTGGTTTGTTCTGGTGTATTTTATTATGAAATTCACTCACATGTTGGCTTCTTACAAAGTGTGTCGACATTTCATCTGTTTAGTTTAATATGTAATAGGTATGCATATGTTTTACAGTAAAATGGCCTACAAAACTACTGGTACATTATTGTTTCATTCGTACATTTTCATAAGAGTAGTAAGTGTATAAATTAATTAAAACTGAAAATCTAATTAGAAGAACTAGTATTAGCTAGTATTAGAAGTATTAGCAGAATGTCCCCTGTCAGTGCATTATATTATATAATATAATATATATATTACATTCAGTGGGTGGAAATATGCTTTTATTTTGGTACAAGTAGCCAGAATTTAAAAATATTATTTTACAAGTTAGATATTTTGCATTTATAGCGTAATAACAGGTTATATTGGGCAATATGAGCAGCAAAAACTCAAAGACGCAAAAAGAAAAAATATTATAATATTTGTTGTTGTTTTTTATTGTTTGTAGCTGGGTATGGTATGGCATACAATTAAAACATCAAGATTGTATAACATCTTGATCTAGAAAGTACCCCTCCTACAGCTTTCAAATGAATCTAGTGAAGTAAAACTACAACATAAAGTATAAATGAATTATAAAGCATGTAATGGACATGCTCATTGTATTGCATTGTGTTGTTTTGTGTTGTATCAGGCCTGTTATATAGGCAGGGAGCGGATCAGCTGACTGACTGAGCAGGGAGGAGGAGCTGTGAAACTTTGCTGCAGGCAGTTAGTTTCTGTGCTGATGGAGGTTACGTTTTAACAATTCAATTCGTCTTCGAGCACGTTAAAACCGAGTGGGGATAGAAAACGGATCCAAGCCGCTGTAGGACATTTAGTGTACCGACCAATCTGTGTTTATTGTTTATTACAATGGGGAGCTGGAAGAGTCACGTCCGCGCTCGACTGCAACACAGGGACCAAACTGAGAAGGTGCCCTATGTCGGGGTCTTCACTAGCTGTAAGGTTAATGTTTCTGTCTCAGCCTTTGCAGTGCTGATGTCCTCACTGCCCAAAGACATGTGTCTGCTTTCTTTCAGTGTCTCAGCTGGAGGAACGGTTTGAAATTCGCAAACAAATATTGGATGATGTTCAGTCAAAGAGGTTAGAAATGAAGTCATTTGTCCTTTCTGCTGATTTGGATAAAAAGCTTGACTTTTTAGCTTGAGTTTTGTTTTAAAAATGGACATTGTTTTTTTGTTTTTGTTTTTCAGTGGAGTTGAAGTCGGGAAAAACACCAAACTCCTTCAACTCCAACTGAGAGAGAGTGAACACCTGGCTGAAAAGGTTGGTTTAATGAGGAATTCAATGATAAACACCACCAGCATCAGCCTCCAACTATATTCAAGAGGTTTCCGTTCTCATATGATTGTACAAGCAGCAGTAAAAACTCAGGCATCCACATAATACAATACATTAATAGATAGCTTTGGGTGTCTTTAACTTTGTGAAATCATCATTACTAGGTTACAGCTGGTAAAGATGAATTGGTGTGTGCATTCAGTGACATGTTTGTCACTTTTTGTCCCCCTCCAGCTGTCTCAGACCGTCTCTGAGCTGACCACCGTCCTGTATCTGAAAGAGGCTGAACTGCAGTACTGGCAGTCACGGTAATCTCAAGTTTCCAGTACATGGAATAGCCAGCAGAGTATAATACCTGCTCTCTCAAAACTGAGTATAATAAACTAGTGCTTGGCCTATTAGTTGTTGGCTCACATTTAGACACTTTATAAAAATGAGTAGGATGAGTTATTTAGCAGCTCTTTTCTTAAGAATATGGAGCAGCTGGATTTTTGTACCATTTTCTTATGTTTTCCATTAATGTACTGTCTTTAGATAATAGGGGGATTTTCAGTATATTTTCTGGTCTAGCACAATTATTTTTAAAGAAAACCATAATCACTATGTTACAAAGTAAATGAAGGAATATTAATATGGTTACTTTGTGCTGATCAAAGGTACACTAAATCACCATTTCGTCACTCGGCTGTTTCAGTGTGTCCCACTACCGTCAAGAGGCACTTACTCTGGCTAAAGGGAGTAATACCCTGAAGGCGGCCCTTTCAGAATTCGAGTTTACAGTAGAGTGTCAATCCAAAGAGCTGGCAGCCCTGCGTGCGGAGCAGAAAGGACTTAAGGAAGCATTGGGACAGGCTTGGAGAGAGAAAGAGGAACTCTTGCAACGATGGATGGAGGAGAAGAGGGAGGAGGCAGACAGGTTGAATAAGTACAACGACACGCAGGAAAGGTAAGAGAAGTGAATGTGTGATCTCTGTGTGACTTACAAAGCTTAAAAATATGAATGATAACATAACTGCAGGTTTGAAGTTGATTACTGCTTTTCGCCAGGTGGCAACATTTGGCCAAACAGCTAAAGAAGCAACTTCATAGGGAAGTGGGAAAAGAGCAAGTTCCCATAGTGCCGAGTCCTTGGAGTGGTCCATCAGAAATGTCTCCATCGGTCATTCAGAGTAAGAATCCACATTCTTCACAATGCAGTAGGTAGAAACAAATGTACACCTCTTAATTTAATACCATTACTGAATTTCAGTGCCGCACACAGAGGCACCTAGAGCCTTTATTAAGAGCATTGTCTTAATTAAGAAGGTCTAGTTGATGAGGTGAAGACAAAAAGGGATTTTGAATGGTGAATTGTTAATGTGATCAAGAAAGTGCTGATGGCACTGACGAAGGCCTATATTTATCCAAAGTAACTCAGCAGAAATCAGCTCAAAGCTCACAAAAACATCCAAGTACCTTTCCTTTATCATGAGGTTTATATTGCTACTCGACCTGGACGACTATAAGACCATGTTACATGAGGAGGAAGCCATTTTAATGCATATTAGGTGCTTCAACGTGATTATCGGGGTATGTTCTACAATAAAAAAGCTTAGACATGTTTAGTATTTTAGAGGCTAATTCCAATTTTATATACACAGTACTTTACTTTGAGGAATATGAACATGTTTGGACTCCTTCTCTTTCTATTTAACAAAATACAATGTTTAATAAATAGAAAATATACTCCATAGTTAGAGAAGTTTGCACATTTAAATCAGGAACTATCTGATCAAAGAATAAGTAAATGACCTTAAGAGTCTGACTAAGCAAACAATACTAATATTTTTTTTTAAAGTATCGATGTTCGATACTAGCTCTATAAAGGACTGAATTTTATCCCTGGCAGTCTGGATAAGGCTGCACTTCGACCGTCATCTTGGGGAATAAAATTGGACCGATGACCTCAGTATTTCTAAAACCCCTGGCTGCTGCCCTTGTCAGGACCCTCAAATTAATATTGTATGGAAGGAATGGATGGTACCCTTTTAGCCGTGTGTTGAATGTAACCTAAAACGTGTAATTCAACATTCTTACTCTTACTCTGCTGATCTTGTCCTCAGGGATTAATAATACAACAGAGATGCACCAGGGGCACACAGACCACAACCATGTTTCAGCTGTTGAAGAAGTCTAATATTCCCAAGAGATCCTCAGCACAAGCATTACCTCTCTGTCAACTTCTCCTGTGCTTGTAGTTGGAAGAATTGATTGCACATATGTGACGCCAGGATCGTGGAACAACCCTTTGCAACTGGAAGTGTTATGATGAGATGGTTTCTTATCTGTATCTGTTTGTTTGTAAGTACCTGCATGTAAATGTACCTAAAAGTTGATTTAAAGATCAGTTTAATTTAGAGTTTGTTAGAGTATAACTAAACTCAACCCTAGTAATTTCAATTACACTCCAGCTAACTCATCACATCTGGAGGTACAAATTTACATTCCTCACTAAATCATTTTTACAATCCCTTCAGTTGTACCATTTGAGGTGAAACAACCTCTGTTCATGTAGTTCATGTCATTTAAATTGCAGGAGCTGGTGTTGTTGTACTGTCAGGGCTTGGTATTAGTGACTATGTGCCTATTTCAGCTTTTAACTTTATCTTTATTTGAAAAGAAAATCATGAATATGTTTTATTAACTAGGTCAAAAAGTGTATTTGATAAGAATTTCATAACCTGAGACCTTTTGTTAAGGCTTACTTTGTAACATAATTTGAAATAATTTTTGAAAAATTAACCTTTCTTATTCAAATGGAAAATGTTAAATGTTATTTTAAAGAAATGTGAATTGTTGTTTTTCTATATGTAAAAAAAAAAATAAAGTCTGCTATAATTTACTCTATCTATCAGAGTCTCTCCTGATTTGAAAACATTTTGACTGCAAATATATCCTCAGCTGTTCAGTTGCAGAGTTCCTGCACAAATACTGTCTGAGTACTTTGTCCACATTAAAAAAAAGATAGGAAAATCCCACAATGTAAGTTTTATATACTTAATTGGCTTAAGAAAACATGCTTTCATGCTTTCTGTGATTTATTTTTCTTATGTTTGATTCTTCCATTTCCTGTTAGAATTCTAGTTCCACGTCTCCATGGCAAATTGAGATCACGTTTCAGGTTGTTGTTTACTGCAGGTTTCCATAGTCACCAGTGTTTGTATTAGTTGTTAAGTTGGACTGTGTGTTGTACTGGTGAAACCACTCAGTGGACTCAAACTGTATTAAAATGGTAAAAGGTGGAAAGCGGTATTCTTCAATGAGCAATGACGGCAAATGGGTAAGAAAATCCTCATTTCATCAAATAATTATATTATTACAAATCATAACATTCAGACTTGGTTGTCTAATTGTCTTTTCTTTCATTCCCCCCTCAGTTTGCTCATCCAGTTTTACCAGAAAATGAAACAAGGAGTCGTGAGACCTGTACAAGCACTGGGAACATGCTGACTCAGGTTAAATCATCATTGCCTCAGGATTTGAACTTGGAGCGCTATCCTAAATGGAAAACTCAGCAGGTGTGTACGTATGTAAAGTAGGTCATGTTTGCTGTACAATCATGGCCCAGGGCTCTGAATGATTTCATTGCACTTTCTTTAAAAAGAATATCTGAATCTCATTGTATCCCATCCCACTGTATTCAGGTGTATTAGACTATACTCTTATCCCAGTTTGAGTTTCTTTATTACTTTCTTTACAGGAATCCAGAGAGTATCCATTCTCAGGCCATGACAACAAGCATTCCTTAAAAGACAACATCTCTGTATTCACTCATGTGAGTATGAAAAGAAAAGAAAAAAAGAAATCTTCAGATCCATCACCACATTACTCTTTAAAAAGTAACCACTTTTTTAACTTTTTTTGTATCATGTTGGTATATTTCAGGGTGTGGGACGCAGGAAGTGTCTTGATGATCACCGACAGCACAACTCCCACTTCTGCCTGTGCCGTGATGAAAATGACAGCAGCTCTAGGGAGAACGTCACGGTCTACCAGACTGACTTTATGGTGAAGCAGGCTGTTAATGGTCCAACCAGCACCAGACGGTTCCCCCGCAACCACCAGCAGAAGTCTGCAGAGGCCGCTTTGGCACAAGCAGCGGAGCAATTCATGTGGTTCGGACGACATGACTCTGACCTCAAAGACACCCTGCATGCGCTGGCAGCTAACAACTACTTAGCACCTTCCAAGGACTAAGATACTACTGAGATACTTTACTAGATGGTATCATTGAGAAGACATAGTATATAGAGGGTATGATGAAACTTCTGGACGGTCCAGCTGTCAAATAAAGAAATTAATAATCATCAGATAGCATTTTTTATTGTTTTGAGAGCTCTTGAGTGTTCTGAGAGCTGTATTCCAGAAAGGAAAAATATGGACCTTTTATAAACAAGGTTTTATTCCACAACAACACTAATTGGACTGGAAAGTGGACTGTTAACAATCCACTTAAAGGCCCAGTGTGTAGGATTTAGTGGCATCTAGCTGTGGAGTTGCAGATTGAAAACTGAAAACTGCTCACGCCTGTATTTGATGACCTGGGAATGACAACATGCTGTGAAGTGTGTCGTGGGCAATTATGGTGGCCACGAAACACACAAAATGCAAAAGGCCCTTTTTACAACTAGTTTGTTTGTCTGTTCAGGGCCACTGTAGAAACATGGCGGTTTAACATGGCGGACTCCATGGAAGGTGACCCGCAGCATCTGTAGATAAACACATCTCATTCTGAAGTAACAAAAACAAGATTTTTATATTCAGGTGATTATACAGTAAAGAAAACATACCTATGAATA